AGGATTTTGCAAAACGACGTCGTTTCCTTGTATACGAATGTTTTCGTTCCAACGGAATCCAACGTGCAAATGAGTCAGCCCCCGTTAATAATTTGATGGGGTTGACTAACGGATAAAAAGTCAATGTAGGAATTGGCCAAATAAATATATTTCGGGCATGAATAAAATTTTTAAAGAGTACAGGAACATGTAGGCACAGCACAAAAGTACAGGCATGAAATGGTACTAGTACGTTTGGTTGAGGCACGTATCGGCCGCTTTCCCATGGAAAAAGAGAAAGAGTATTAATTCTGAAGCATAGTAAACCAAAATGTCATTAAAATAAACTATTTAATTAGTAAAGGTCTAAACCAAAACAAATAAAATAAACTGTCGTTTCTTACATTCTGAAAGACGGTTTTGTATACAACATTCAAAGTATTGGTTTGTGGCTTATCCATAGTATACGTTATCAGAATCTCAAACCAGCTCTCGAACTAACATGTGATATAACGGGGAAAATGGCCAAAATCAACTTAGACTAAATTTGATGTGCCAAAAAAAATCTGAACTAAAATAGAGTGTTATTTTCTACCCGAACTACCAAAATATTCAAATTCCATACCAAAGCTATTGAATTTATGCCAAACCCAGCTTTGACCATAAATCTGTTAGTCAAACTGTTAACACTGCTGACTCAGTAGACACAGTCAACTATCACGACAGTTAACACGCCCAAAAATGTTGAGTCAACTGCCACGTCAGCTGTCATTATTATTTTTTTAAATTCTATTTTTTTCTTTCATTTTTATGTTTAATTTTTTAAAAATTTTATAATCTTAGTTAGCTGAAAGACCATTATTTATATAAAAATAAATACAACTCGGAGTCTCGGACACTGACAGCTCGACGAAAGGATCCTCATCTTTGGATTCGATCCGGTCGGATTAATTCTAACCCAGCTAAACCGGTTATTAGTGTAATAGTGTTCAGTGCACCAGGTGGCTAATATAAGCCGAGCAATTAAGATTAGTTTGATTGATGTAAGTTGACCACAACCTCTATTAAATAATTTGGGTAGAGAATTTAATTTTATTTTTGTCGTGCGGGTAGGAAATGGCACCATATTTGAGTTCAGTTTTTTTTTCGGCACATAAAATTTAGTTCGGATTGATTTCGGCCCTTTTTCTTGATATAACCACATAAAGTTATCTATGGGAAAATACGGGGTTTGGTAAATACACTCCACATAAAGTTATCTATAGCTTGAATAACATGTTTGGCCAATTGTGTTACCAAGAGTCTTGTTCCACTGCATAAACCACCTCTGGGGTCAACATTCCAAAGTAACATAATAGGTGTTCCTATTTTCAATTTCAATTCATGGTTCAGAAATTCTGAGATATTAATACTATTCAGATATTCTTGGGTGTATATTTGTTCGTTAATCTTGCCTTTATCAGAAGTATCAATACTGACCGAGCTAAATATGTATGTTCCTCACCTAGAAAAATGTTAAAGTTCACTAAGTATAACTTAAAATAATGATATGAAGCTCAAATGTAAGATCATATATCTATATTTATAAAGCGTTAAATGTGTTTACTTTTTATTTCCGACAAAATGTATTCGTTTATTAATCCCATCACTGCATTGCATTTATCGGGCTGAGAATTTCTCTATCTTGAAAAAATTTTGGGTCTCTCTCTGATCTGTGTGAATCACCATACACTTCTCTTACTATCTCTTTAACATGATCGACACATTCTTTTATTAGTAAATCGTCAGAGATTTTAATTTGGCTTCATCGTCGTCACAAAATATATTGATCACTTGCTTATTATTCTTTTTTTATTGTTTTTTTAATGTCATGAAGACATTCTCAAATTATTATGAATCATTTCCGAATATTCAGGGAGGTATTCCCTAATTGAAAATTCAGTCATGGATTCTAAAAGTTTAACAATCTGTAGTTTAGTCTAAAACTAAAATGTAAACAACTTCTTTTTGTTCTGAATCAGCACACTCTTCAAAGCATTGAAAACCTACTTGCTTCTTAAATGGTATTCAATCATCTTCATTCATCACAAAATGTCTTAGACCCAGTCAAATCAAGAGAAAAGGTTTGTTAAACAAAAAATACATAAATATTTAATACATTCAAAATCTTTAAGAGATATTTAAAATGTGATCATTGAAGGTTTATTATTCAGAAAGACCTTCCTAAACTATTACGAATTCCTTCCTGAATTGAAAATTCAATAAGGTTTCTTAATGTTTAGGAAAAGGCTTACTAAAATCATCATATATAAAATCTTCTCACAGATAGACTTATCCATGTTTGTATATGTAAATATGTATAATTAAAACTGTCAAAAGTCGACGATACAAAGATTTAAACAAACTATTGAAACTTGTAGGTAAATTAAACAACAAATACATAAACATTTTAAAGGTATTCCTAAAAGTTTAATAATTCAGACATTCCTAAACCATTATGAATCATTCTTGAATATTAGGGAGGCCTTCCCAAACTTAAAACTCAGACCTGGCTTTCGAATTTCTGATGATCTGCAGTTTGGAAATGGTTCCAAAATGATTTAAGATTTAAGAAAATGGATTTCCGCCGAAAACCTATAGCTTGAGCACAAAAGTTTTCGAAACCCCCAATTTTTTCCAAAACTCTATTTTTTTCCTTAAAAATTGAGATTTCGATTAAGATTTTGAAGAAGTTAGAAAATTATTTGAAGGAGACCAAGTTGGGATTTACTCGATTTCCAGAGTGAAGATTTGCTAACTCCAACGACTATTCTGTCAAATTTCAGATGAAATTCTGACAACATTAGAAGTTGTGAGGCGATCATTGAAGGTTTTTGTGAATTTTTATGGAAGAGGAAATAGAATTAGAACTAATTGTGTTTTTTTTTGTTTTAATGAATGCTATATTTTTCCATGTGAAAAGAGGGCTCTTTTTAAGAAAATTTAGTTTTTTGGGCCATTTTTAAAAATTATACTTTTAATTGATAGCATCTATAATTTAAAAAAAAAATCATTACAGTTTTCAAATTTTTTTGTCATTTTTTTAATTAATTATTTTTTCTGATCGAGATATTTAAAATTTTTGATAAATATATTAAATTCAAAATTGTGGGAGTCACATATATGAATAGATTTGCCTATGTTCTTGCTTATTATTTTTTTTTTAAATACTGAATTTAATATTATTTAGTTTTTGTCATGATTAATATATATCAACATGGATATGTTGTTGTAGAATTTTTTTGCATCAAAGGTATATCACGCAAGTAACAAAGCCTGACCAATTCAAATCAATTTAATTTGATTGGTAAAAAAGTATTATACGTAAAATTTAAAGTCAACACAAGTGACAATGACTTTAGCAACCCATAACTAATATAATAATCCAGTCTCAAGTTCATCATTCCACGAGATTATAACTAAGATATTATAAGATTATAATTATAATTATTATTATTCTTAAAAGGTTAAATAGAGGGATTGCAAAAATTAACTTAAATTTTAAATAGAAAAGAAGATCCTTTATTCAATATTAAACAAGAGTAACCTAAAAGGGTAGGAAAATTATTATATTCTCCTTAATGAACAAAAAAAAACAGAAATAATAATTACTGTTATAAATTTGTAAAGTCTCAAAATCCTATGAAGTCTACTATTTAGAGTGTTAAAATAAGGTAAAGAAAATGGAAATTTGTATAAAAAGGGGGAAAAACATGTAAAAGGAAAAGATAATTTAAAAAGTTAATCGGCTAAAAAAATTTATTTACAAAAAAAACTAAAACTGATTAAATTGCGAGTGTTTAAAAAAAGCAAAAGAAAAAAAAAATTTGTTAAATAGAAACCTTGTAATATAAAAAAGAAAATTTAAATGATTTATTTGCAATTACATGTTGGTCCATTTAAAGATATGATTGCAAAAGCTGGAATCAATGACCTATAAGGTAAAAAAAACGTTTATTATGTCATGTAAGATCTTAAAAAATTTTGGGGGATGAAGTATAAAAGAACATAGCAACAAAAAGCATATGTTAATGATTACAATAAATAGGACCGAACGAAAAAGCATGATATAATTAATGTGTATAGCTGAAAGAAAGGATTAATTAAAGTGACAAAAACAACAAATATATTCAAAACCAAAATTACAAAATCAATTTATATCGACATAAGCATTAAAGCTGAACATTTAAATAGAAAAAAAACAGAGCAAGACCTAAAGAATATCGAGAAGTTAACTAAATACAACTAAGCATATATATATATATATATATATATATATATATATAAGAGGAAGAATATGCTAGGGTTTAGGTTTATGTGGTTATGAGGGTTATTAAAATTGCTAGACCATGACATATTATTGAAGAAAAATCCATGTCACGGGTTGTACAGTATGATCAATGATAGACCTATCAAAACGAATTAAAACGACACATAATATTTTTTTATTAATACCACATAGAACAATCGCTGTGGTAGTGACACATAAGATTTTTGACCTCGCAAATAATAGTATAGATTAAATATTATATTTTTAGGAAAACATGATTTATAGAGAAAAATTATCTACACGTAAACAAAAATATTTTTCTGTTTGTTCATCGAAATTGTTTTAATTCTATCTCGAATTCTTTTAATACACAGAGTATATATAAATTTTCATTATCCAAAGATGCACTGTGGTTGAGGTCAAACAAAACAAGGATCGATTGTCCTGTATATCATATATCATTTCAGTCATTTGGTATCAACTTAAAGTTATTTATTCATAAAAAAGATAGTTTGGTGTGTTTCTGAACTTATAGTTATACATTAATCAAATATGGTAGAGTAATAGATCGACGGTGTATATTCCTATTGAATGTTGACGAGTAAAACGTGGAAGATCGATTTTAAATTAGTGAGGAAACTGTTAATTAGAAGCAAGCCTTGACTCACGTTGCCTATAATTAAGAATCAAGAAGACTCGTATCATTCTCATCATCCACCTCTAACACCTTCTTCTTATTTGAATATCAAATCTCATCATATTTTCATATGACGAGATCGAGGAGAGTCTTTGACACAGAGGAATTATTTATCAATGCTATCGCGGAGCGCACAGCCGCTCTCTCTGCGCATTACTGCCATCAGAGAGGCTATTTCACCGTTGTTCTCTCTGGTGGTGATCTCATCTCTTGGCTAAGGTATGTATGAGAATTTTTTTGAATATTACTCATTATTTACTAGGATATTTGTAAAAAGTAATAATAATCAATGTAATTAATTAATTTTTACAGAAAACTTTTGCAACCTCCTTACATTGATTCAATCGAATGGTCTAAGTGGCACATCTTTTGGGTCGACGAGAGGGTTGTTCCATGGGACCATCCAGACAGCAACTACAAACTCGCCATGGATGGTTTTCTCTCTCAGGTAAAAATAAAATCATAATATGTTATATATGATGATAGCAGTCTCCATATGTTAATTCCTTCAATACATATATGATATATAACAGTCAAGTTGTATGATATTAAAAACAAAATTGTATGATATTTACTTACAAACTACAGTAAAAAATTCTTTAAATTAATAATGTTGGGACTCTCAAATTTTACTAATTTAACGAGTTATTGATTTATAAAGAGATTAATTTGGTCAAAATTTAAATTTGGAACCAAAGAAATTTATACTTAATCAAGTTTATTAATTTATCGAATATAAATTTATAAAGTACTATGTAGTGTTTTTTTGGATAAACTTTGATATGCCAACCAGGTTTTGTGATACCATGTAGGTTCCCATTCCAACTGGAAACATTTATCCCATCGATCAATATTGTGCAGCTGTTGGTGATGCCAAAGGGGCCGCGTTCCTCTACGAGAAGTGCATCAAAAGATTGGTAGATCGAAACATCATCCGCTCATACAAATCCTCAGGCTTCCCACAGTTCGATCTCCAGCTCCTAGGAATGGGTCCAGATGGTCATATGGCGTCCCTGTTCCCGGGACATCCTCACATCAATTTTAAGTCAAATTTGGTAACTTATATCACCGATTCCCCAAAACCGCCACCAAAAAGAATCACCTTCACTTTACCGGTCATTAACTGCTCTTCCTACAACCTCATGGCTATCCGTGGTATGGAACAGGCTGATGCGGTGGCTAGGGTTTTTAACGATGATCTCGACTTGCCTACAGCTAGGCTCAAAGCTGATACAGAAGTCATCTGGTATCTGGACGCAGACGCTGCATCCAAGCTCTCTGACTACGATGAAGAATAATAAGGTTCGCCTCTCCGGTCCGTTTGGTTCTCTTCTATTTATTTGTATCTTATATATCTTGCTTTGCCTTTAATGTTCCTAATGTTTTCTTCTTTTTTTTTTTTGGTGGACTGAATGTTTTCTAATAAGAGCTGTGTTTGGAATGTAAGATCGAGTTGGTTCGGTTTATTCTTGCAAACAGGTACGATTGTATTTCTCTTCTATGAGTTCTAATGTAATTCATAATTCGTTTGATCCTGGCTTAGTACAATCTATTTTTTGGTCTACAATAGAATCTTAATTTTTTGTTACTGTTACTAATTTTGTTATCAGATTTTGTAAAGTTGGTTTAGATGGTTTAGCCTTAACCTAATTGGTTTAAATAGTATTCGTAGCAGTTAAATTAAATTCAATGTCATACTTCAACGGCAGTTTTATAACAGACTATAATCAATGGCAAAGCTTAAACTTTGTATAAGATAGCAGAAGTTAATTTGATATAGGTTGGATCAGATACTCCGGATATAAATAAGTGTGATTTGGAAGCTATTCTAATTTGGATTAGATTCAACAATGTTCCTTGTGATTTGATAATCGAGGCTGGTTTCTTTCATATTGGTGGTGCTTGGTCTTTCATATTGGTGGTGCTTGAAGTGATCCAGTTGCTGTTAGAAATCTCAATGGTTTTTCTTCTGGAGAAGTTCAAGTCAAAATTGATCTCTCCAAGCCATTATCTAATCTTATTAAGTAGAGACAGATGAAGGGGATATCATCATTCTTGAAGCATGTTATCTCTGGCTTCCTCCAATTTTTCCTTCTCTGTCGTATCATTGGCCATCGAGATTTTGCCTGTATGATGCTCAATCACTCGCCTAACTCTGAAGTGCATGAGACCAATAGTGACTCCGTTTCAGCGAATCCAGAATCGCAAGCTATGCACGTTGTTGTTGATCAGATGGCAATTGACGCTCAAGAGGACAGCCTCACTCTTCAAGTCACTAGTGACACTGTCTTTACTGCTACCACAGTATCAGAAGCTCTCCCAACAACACCAGTCTCTTCCCAAAAGATTGAAACTGTCACATAAGGTATCTCTACTATCTTAGATATTACAAAGGAAAACAAATTATCTTAAAAAGGTTGCAGGCACTCCTGATCGGGTCTCTTCTCCATCTTCTGCTCAAATTGAGAATGAAGTTATAGCCATTGCCTCTAAAACATATGAGACAAGTCTTTTCTCCACTATCATATGTGAGAAATCTTTTCTTAGTCTTGATATTTCAACTCTTTTTCCGGTTGCTTTCAGTGATCTCTTTGATAAAAATGGAGTGTTTATGGAGATGAACTTGTACTTCATCAGAAATCCCGAAGAGGTAGGTCAATAAAACCTTCTCAAAAGTTGCTAAAAATCTAATGGTCTCAAAACCGTGGTCGTCTAGAGCGTTGAGGCCGTGGAGATCTTAGATCTCAAATCTAAGCTTTTTGTTTAGTTTTATTAATCTTTTTTTTTTATTTTTCAGCTTTTGGTTTTTAAGAGTTTTCTTTAGATTAAGTTAAACCTTAATCCCTTCTTCTCTAATCCTTTTTTTTTTTTTTTGTTATTTTGTCATATTTTAATTTTAAATTAATGAAAGCTCTTTCACAAAAAAAAAAAAATTCAAAAAATTTCAAAGTAGGCATGCTTTTAAAAAAGTTTTCCTTTTTGTTAAGAGTAAGAAAAGATCTTTATTTTTTATTTGGGTTATTTTCTATTATTTTTTAAATTTTTTAACATATATAATTATAAATATTATATTCTATTTAAATTATTATTATTATTTTGCATTTAATAATAAAAATGTTTGCACTGCTTTTTTTCGACATTAAAAAAAATATTTTGAACCATTATATTTAATTGGTCTATATTTGTTCTGACTTAGCTGCATGATATGTATTATTTAATATATGTTATCATCTAAAACCTAATTAAGCCTAATGACATTAAAAATATTATTGATAACAAATGAACAGAGCTTTCCATGGATTGACATCTCATCATATAAGAGAAATATTGTTTTTTTTTTGTCAAACTATTAAAAATATATATAAACTATTTAGTTTGGCTCTAACTATGCTAAAAATCATTAAAATATCAAAATATGCTCTTTCATATCTAATATATGTGTCTGTGTGGGTGAAATAAAAACTGAAGTCTGGTGTCTTGTTATGCAACAAAAAAATAGAAGAAGGAATTGATGTCAACGAAAAATGTTACTATAAGCCTGTTCGTTTGATCTACGCTAGCGACACGTAACTTTCGGAAACACTCGACAACTTTATCTATGGGCGACAACCGTAAAAAAACTAAAACGATGACTGCAAGAGTTGCTGATTTTTCCAAGGCAACACCAACGACATTCGATTAAAGTAAAAGCAGCGTCATAATTTTTTCACTTTTGTTAAGTTTGCGTCCTTTGATGTCTATTTATTTGCCGCATAACTTAGTCGTAGCGGCGAATTAAACATGCCTTATATCTAAAAAATCAATGAACAAGTAAGCAAATCCGTAAGATTTTAATGCATTGTACCTTAATTAGAACTTAGACACAAGAACATATATCCGAGCTGTGCTAATTTTTTTATTATAATAAATTTTGACTTTTAAATTATCTATATACTTATTTGTGTAGTGATTTGCTTAGGTGTCGCGCTCACAACGAGTTTCACCGCTTTTTGCTTACGTGTCAGCTCCAGAATGAGTTTCATCCGTAAAAAGATCATTTAGCCATATTTTCCAATTACATGTCATTTTTTAATTGGTTCTCATCTGATAACGTGTCAAAAAAACTTAAAACAAATCGGTCTAAATTATTATGGTTAAATGCTTAATTCCATACTCAACCGAACCGTTTTTAAAATAACATTAAACCGAAATTTAGGGAAAAAAAATAAAAACGTTTTTTTTTTTTTTAAATTACCATTTCTAATATCTTCAAAAACGTTTTTCTAAAATAAATAAAATTTTTTTACCATTTCTAATATTTTCAAAATAATCAAAAAATCTAACTAAAATGTTCACTAAATTTTAATATAAACTAGATTTTAACCCCGTGCGTCCGCACGGGAATGTTTTAGTTTTTTATTTCTAATATAAGTTGCATTTATCTTTTTTGTTTAAATATAATTTATTTTTGTTATTTATTTTTTTAAATTAAAAAATTGTTATCATATTTTAATTTTAAACAGTAAAATTTGTATATTAGTAGAATAAGAGTATACGTTAATTAAGTATACGTTGATCTAATGTTAATTTTAAACTTTGTTATTATGTGAATTTAGATTTACACATAAACAATCTATATATCTATGAATTTGTTAATCAATCCGTTTAGTTGTCTTAAATCATTTTTAATATCTTACATATTTTGACAAACTAACCCGTATAAGACTATAATTATAATTGTATAACCCTATAAATACTAATATGGAATATTTGGACCAATTGATTATGAAAAAATATGATAAGATATTTATTTACTATTTGTGCTATTAAACAAAATGTATATATATATATATATATATAAACGGGCTAACCTGTTAGTTTTATCTCAAATCATCTTAATATCTTACATGTTTTAATAAATTAACTCATGGACCTTATATATATATATAACTCTAATCAGTTCGATCATATTATTGTATAATATAAATATTTATTAATCTCAAATATTTGATATTTTAGACCGATTGTTTATGATAAAATACGATAAAATATTTATTTACTATGCATTTTTATAAAAATATTATTTAAATTTAAAATTTTAAATTAAATCTTTCCTGTATTTAAGAAATTCTAAAGTATTAAAATTATTATCTAAATTTTCGTAATAAATTTTAATTATAATTTTTTTGATTTTTTTGAATTTAAATTAAATTGAATGCAAATTTTTGTAAATAAATTTAATTAAATTATTAATAATTTGAAATTTAAATTAAAGATGACCTAGATTTTAGGAAATCTAAAAATATCTAAATTAATAACTAATTTTCGGAAATTAAATATAAAAATAAAATAAAAATATTATAAAAAAAATTTGGGAGTGTTTGGATGCAAGCACTAAATGTGCTTCTGTTTTAATAGAATAGATATAAGCCACTTTTCACTACTTCTCTCACAACTTTCACAATTGTTAAACCTCTTTCTTCTTTTTCATTCAAACCGATTTTAAATTTATATTAAACCAAAATTTAGAAAAAATTAGACAAAAACGTTTTTTATAAACACAAAAAACTAGAAATTTACAATTTCTCATGTTTCCGAGATTTAGAAAAAATCTAACTAAAAAAACAAAAATTGGAATAAAATTTAGAATATCGTTTCAAAACAAAAAAAAAACAAAATTTATGTTAGAATATTGCTAATTATTATAGTTTTTACAATTTCTTATGTTTATAGGGTTTTTGATTTTTATAAAACTAAAATTTAGTAAAAATCTAAGAAAAAGTAAAAAAAAAACAATAAATGAAATCTATATGTCTAATGAAATGTCGTTAATTATGATATATAGAGTAGAATTTTTTGATTTCTTATCTATATATTTCAGAAATATTTTTTAACCCTTTTGTTAAAATCAAAAACTTATTCGTAAATTTGATTCGTCTAACTTAGAACAAAGATAAAAAAAAAAAATTCTTAAAATTATTTATTTATAAAAATACACTTGATAGATATATATAGTCCACACGTGGTGTGGGCAAGTTAACTAATTAAATATTATTTGTTTGTGTATGTGAGAGTGATCTCAAGATAAGCATACGACTGAGAAATCTCATCTTGTCAGATTCTCAAACTCCTTCTTGCTGTCCTTAGGTATTTATTATCTTTTTTCTTATGCATTTTATTAGAAAGTTTGTTACTTGATTCGGTTGCACACAGAAAATATTAGTTTATTCTAAATCATGAATATACATTATATTGTTATAAACAAATGGACTACTAGTAACCGGCTCATTAACCATCAGGTTAATGTCTCATAGCCCATTAGGGTTTCTGATATATTAGTTATGTAATGTATATATACACTGCTTATGGAAACAATAAGATAAGAGTTTTTCCCTTAATACGTTATCAGCACGAAGCTCAACTTCAAACGATCATATCTCTCAAAATACAAGGAGTTAGAAGGCGATCTACATATCATTTTGAAGCCTTGGAAGAGAAGAATCTAGTGGTGAAAACCGCTCCTCAATCCGACACCAGACGCGCCCTCAAGACTCAAAACAATCGG